TAAATCAATAAAAACATGAAAACAGCTGTGTAGGATGATGGGATTATGGGTAACTTTTTCCTTTTTTGCAAATTTCCTTTATTACATTGTTTCATAACATGATTAAATTGCAAAAAAAAAATTTTTCCCTTAGTTTCCCAACCTAGAGAAGAAAATTTTCTTAAAAGTTTTTCCTTCCCAAATGTAGGCAGTAAGACCCTATTTAAGAAAGCATTGCCTCTTTTAAAATCAATTTTTAAGAAAAGGCAACATTTTCATTATGAAATGAAAATATTTAAGATAAACCAGTAAATACTGAATCAAAGGGGTGAGGTTTATTTCCATGTTTGGCACAGTAACAAAGTGTTAGTGGAAAAACTGTAGTTTTAGTTTGGAAATTCAACGAACTTTTTGCTGCCTTATAGCAAGCTAATATGTTTGCTCAGATTCCGTTTTCTAGCAGATTGATGTGAACTGAAGGGATTAACAGACATACATGGCAATAATTCACATGAAAGAAAGAGGGGAAAACAGGCATGAGGGAAAGGTAGCAAACTAATGCATCTGTCACTGAAATAATGAGGAAATGACATATTTTCTCATTACAGAGGTAACCTTAAATTTGCTAAAAGCCAGACACTGAGTCTTATATTGAATCACTTACCTTATGTAGGTATTCATCCAGTGCAGGATGACTGACTGCATTTTTGACATGGTGTTTCTCCTTTATTATAATGAGAAGTAGTCCCAGCAGTTTGATGCTATGATGCTCAGGATGGCAATGTTAATCCCTGGAGCTGCTAGTGTAGCCTGAAAATAGGGACAAAAAGATTTATAAATGGGACCAGAAGTATAAATAGTTCTGGACTCAGCTGCTTCTGTATCACTAGAGAGCCCCGAATTAGAAATTGCTCCTTTAGAGACTGTTTTTTCTCCCAGTTGAACATATATTGGAGGTTTCTAATTTAAATTTATGCTTTTCGATAAAATGGATTAGAGAGATTGAGTTGATATAGACTAAAGGGAATCAACAGAGGTCACGTGAGTCTAGGAACTCAATCTCTGTTGAAAGAAGTTTTAGTGTGACATGATTGGAGTAAAGAGAAAAGAGAATGAACATTCATTCATTCAGAGAACTACCATGTGCTAGGTATAGTAGTGGACGCTTTTCTATCCGTTATCTCATTCAAGCTTTTCGGATGAGGAAATTAAAGCTTAGAGAGGTTAAATTGTTTGCCCAAATAGCACACAACAGTGAATGAGAGGATGGGTTCTTTCTGACTCCTAAACTCATACTAGACTTGTTCCTTGGTGGTTAGGTGGCTGACATCTCAGGAGACGGAAGTTTTCTGTTTATTTCAAGAGCAGGTTTCTTATAGGTGTGGCTCTTCACTTTCTCCCAGGTTGTCTTGGAACACAGGATTTAAGGGACTACCTGTGGAACTGAGAGTACCAGCACATTTTTTTTTTTTTGACCTTTTGGGTGGCTAGTCCCTTGTTCGAAGATAATTTCAAAATCGTAGCTGCTCTTGGGAGTTTGATGTATGAAGACTTTGTTGTTGGTTTTATTATCTTTGATACCATTATTTTAACACTAGTGGATGGTGCCCAGGGTGTACCCCATTTAATTGATAGATTTCTTAGCTGTTTCATTGTAGTGTCTCTAGTATCTTTATCTTTGTGGCCATAGTCAAGAAACAGGTTTTTATTTATTTAAACATGATTGTGGGAGAGGTATATAATTACAGTAAGCCTTTTGTGTATGCCGGAACATATCTTACCCTTACCTGAAAAGCTGGTTGAGGAGAGTTGTAAGTGGTAATGTTTTTCTGTACATCAATACAGACCTTTTCCCAAAGGAAGGCCAAAGCTATTTGAATTGTGACCACTCCTTAGCTGCCAGGTGTTAACAACTGTGGTTACTCATAAGCCTGGATAGATTCAAACCATTGCTCTTGAGTTGAAATATTTTCTAAGCTGTTACTCATCTTTTGGCTCATTCTTTCTTTCACCAGGAAATACACTGACTATTAATTTCAAGAATTTCAGTTATCCCTTCTGAAGAGTATGTTGCTCATTAAAGTTTCTGGGATTTGTTTTTCTGGTAACCAGCAAGGCCACAAATTAGTCTGTACTCAGTGGTCATGTTGAGTCGATGTGTAAACAGAAGGAGAAATGTGATTGTCTAGAGAAAGGCTGTTGAAGATGAGACCATCCTTTCTGACTCCTTTCAGAGGTTCATCTCTTCTACCAGAGGATGGGGATGCAGGAGGGTGCATTTGAGGCTGAACAGAGCAGGGTGGTACGTGTGTGTATTTGTATCTGTAAATATCACATCACTGTTTACAGTACACTGGACTGTCTTCATGCAAGGCCTGGTCAGGCCAAACCAGGAGGAATTGTTCCTGTTTTTAAAGCCAAGAAAAACATCCTGACCAGCAAGGGGACAGAGGTAAGCTCAAGGCAATAGCTCTTGGGAGCTACAGGACATTAAGAATCTTGAAGGAACTGAGTTTAATTAAAAGGAAAGCAAGATGTACTTTGAAGGAAGTGTGTGAAACCTTCATGCCTTTCTCTCTCTCTTTTTTTTTTCCTTTTTGTCTTTTTTTCGTGACTGGCAACGGGATCGCAACCCTCGGTGTCGCGCCCGCACCGCGCTCATCCAGTGAGCAGACCGGTCTCTATATGGGATCCGAACCCTCGGCGGGAGCGCCACCACACTCCCAAGCGCCGCACTCTACCGAGTGCGCCACCGGGCAGGCCCTGCCTTTCTCTTTATTAGGGCATGGTTTATTTATAAAAAATGAAAAGTCATCTTATCAGGTGGATATGTGATGAGTTCATATCACGCCGTGGTCATTTAGATTTTTCTCTCCGACCTAATATATTTACTTGTCTGTACATTGTGTGTGTGTGTGTGTGTGTGTGTGTGTGTGTCTGTGTGTGTGTCTGTGTGTCTGTGTGTGTCTGGTAAGGGGACTGACCTTGGTGTTTTAACATCGCAGTCTAACCAACTGAGCTAACTGGCTAGCCCTGTTCATAATTTTTATTAGAAATATTGTATTCTCAGCTAAGCAGTAGGAAAAGTATGTTCTATTATTCTGGTGTTTTATTCTATGGGCAGCATCAGAGAAGATCATGAGAGGGCTGGATTTAAAAGATAATATGTTAATTAAAAAACAAATACCATTTATGAAATCTGGGGACCTTCCTTAGTGGCTGGAGTTTTGTTTCTGGAATCTTTCTGTTTCCACTTCTCTTCTTTTCCCTTCTGTCTTTCCTCATTCTGATGCTGGCTGCTCACTCCACAGAGTCAACTCACACTGTTTTCTTGGGGAGCATTCTAAGTTTGTCCTGTTGTCTTCTCTGGGACTCATTTCTCTGGTCTGGCTTCAACTGATTCAGGGCCAAAGTGATCTGAAAGCTTTTCTTCATGGCCTTTATTTTTTGGCTCTTTTCACACACCTTGCCTGATTGGTTTTGCTGGCTCTCTTTTTTTCTTGTGGTGTAAGTTATATTGCCTTAGTTGGAAGGCTGTAAAGCTCAGGTGCAGCTTTAGGCCTTTTTGACTTTTCTCTGGTTTATAAAGTACCTTTGTCCTTTCCTAGAAACTGGGGGATGAATCAGGTGCTGTGTTGTGAGGTATTGCTGACTCTTCTGGAATTCTAGTTTGCTAAGATGTTTATTTAAACAGTATGTAGCAATTTGGATTGTATTTGCAAGGTAGGATTTGCTGCCATGACTCTGATGTAGGTCATTGCTGTTACCTTTTCTTCCTTTATTTTCCAGTTGAAAAATTAGTGGAGAGAGAGTTACCTTGTCTATGGTCACATAGTAAGTTGCTCTTATACTTTTTGAAACAAGCAGACCTCATTTTTGTATTCCTTATGCTTAGCACAGATACTAGCTTAACGAATAATAAGTGCTTAATAAAGACGAGTACACCTTAACTGTGGGTTGATTGGTAATAGGGGTATGGTTAAAAATCAGAATTTTCATCAGGTTGATCATTTTGTAGACCAACAGCCGAGAAAAGTTTCTGGATGGAAGGGACAGCATAGCTGTGCAGAAAGCTTTTAGCAATTCAGAGTATGCATGCAAAAAAACCCTTAATTTAAATGTTTTAAAATGAAGAAAGACAAGTAGTTTGGCTAGACCATAAATTGGTTATAATCTAAGGAGAGAGTATAAAAGAACATGGGTTAGTCAAGAGATAGGAATAGTTCCAGAAACAGGCATCTTGCCAGCTTGGGGTCATACAATGAAAAAGAAAATTTCCCACCCCTCCCCCAAACCACTATCTAGAAGGCTATTAATGACTGGGCACTAGCGTCCAGTTTTTAGGCTGTCACGTAAAGCGTGAAAAGGTCTTGTGGGGTCAGTCAGCACAAAGAACACTTGGCCTTTTGATTTGTTAAATTCTTCCTAATAATTTTGCTGCCATCAAATAGTTCTGCTAATTCCAGAGCCAAACCATTTTCTGATTGTTTTTCTGTGTCCAGTTGGCTTGTGGGACCAAAGCAGCAGCTGAGACTGCTGTACTACACTGTGCATTATGCAACAATCCTTCAGAGCGCCCAGGCACCTTGTTTTCCCCTTTAAAAAAACTTAAAACAACAAAAACCAAAAATATTCTACTTTGATTTTTGCTTTGGGGCCAGTAATCTGCATCTCATCTGGGAGCCTTGGTCTCTCCCCCATTATTATTTCTTCATGCATCCATATGCTAAGTCCTGTTCTCTGAACCTGGCTCTAGCTTCTGGCCTCATTTAGTTATATGAATTTTAACTGTTTCTGGTTTCAGACCTGTTTCTACCTTTTGTCTTTTCCTGTTCCCTGTAATAAACTTTGGGTTTAGACTTGCTTGGGGAAAGGATGATTATTTTTGCTTGCTTGTTTGTTTTTTGTTTGCTTTTGGCGGCTGGCCAATACTTGTTTGATTTTTGGTTCCATGAATTTGTACTCTTCATATTAATTATTCTTACTTTCTTTGTCAAACAGGCTACCAAGCAGTTTCTTGAAGAGATTAACAAGTGGACTGTTCAGTACAATGTTTCCCCGCTCTCTTGGAATGTGGCTGTCAAGTTCCTCATGGCCAGGAAGTTTGATGTTCTCCGTGCCATAGAATTGTTCCACTCCTACAGAGTATGTTGCTTAGACCTGTGTTTCTGTTCTCTCTGCCATATTCTCTGCCACACATTGGTTCTTTAAGTGTTCTCCCCTATTCCTGAAAAAAAAAAAAAAAAAAAAATGGATTAATGTCCAAGAGCCCTGGTGAGAGCTGAGGCTAGCCAGGGCAACTCCTGGGCACCATTTATGTGCCTAAGTTTTGATTGTACATCAGGATCAAGTACTGCTGATTGAGATTAAGGAAGTATCCTGACATCATCCTGGTGGCAGGATAGTGGTTGCCTCTTCCTAGAGTTTGAGTTTTAGTTCTCCCCACTGGCCTTTTGCCACATTCCCCATTTATTCCACTGGTTTTCTGGATCTCTTGGGGGTTTTTAGAAACTTGCCATTCAAATAAATGCTGAGCTTAGTGGGCAGCTCAGGAAGGGGAGCTTTAGTCCTGGAAAAGAAGAACAACTGTAATAGCTGGGTCCATTATCTTTAGCAGTACCTTTATGCAAATACAAGGGTCCTTCAGAAAGTTCATGGAAGGATTTATGTTTTTAATTCTCTTTTTCCATGAACTTCTTTAAGTACCCTTCTATAGCTACATCAATATTTTACTTGGGTGTTTTTTTGGGTTTTTTTTTTGGCAGTTGGCCGATAAGGGAATCTGAACCCTTGACCTTTGTATTACAACACCACACTCTAACCCACTGAGCTAAACGGCCAGCCCTTTTTTACTTTGTTTTTGATCTTTGTTTTGATTTTTCTTTTTTGAGGGGGCACAGACTTTGATTCTGTGCTTATGTTTGCTTTCTCGGTTGGCAGTATCTTTGATAAAACACTGTGTGGCATGTTACTTTGGGGTTGGAAAATCCTTCTGAAGAGATATAAATCTCCGTAAATTAAAAAAAAAAAAAATGAGATAACAAGCACTAGGATTAGTTTAGGACTAAAGCTCACTTACCCCTATCTTGTGGGTCAGCTCATTTAATATTCTTTCATTTATTCAACAGACATTTATTGTATACCTACTATGTTCCAGGTACAGAGATTACTATTTAGAAAGAGAGAGTAAACAAATAATTATAGAAATGCTAGGATAGGGTAACAATGCAATCCGTGGAAGCACATTTATAGTTAGGAGGGTCAAAGAAGCTTTTCTGAAGGAAATGACTTCTAAATTAAGATCTGATGTATGATTAGGAATCAAACAGGTGGGGGAGTGTGGCAGAGAGAACAGCAAGTTCTAATGCTCAGTGGAAAGAAAGAAATTCACCTGAACAGGAATTTTCTTTTTTGGTTGGAGGGCAGTACAGGGATCCGAACCTTTGACTTTGGTGTTATAAGGCTGTCCTCTAACCAACTGAGCTAACGGGCCAGCCCTGAGCAGGAATGTTGAGTGGGAGTGGGAGTATGGTAAGAGATTGAACAGCAGAGGTAAATAAGGTCAGATGAGAAAGTATCTGTTTTTTCTGAAGGGCATAAAAATTTATCAAAGGTATAAGTAGAGGAATGTCTTGGTCATATTTGCATTCTGGAAAGATTTATCCTCACTATGCTTTGGAGAACAGATCAGAAGGGCTATTCCAGAGACAAAGAGACCATCAGAAGGCTGTTGTACTAACTGGGAGAAGAGATGATTGTGGTGGTGTTAAGCATAACGTCAGGGGAGACGGAGAAAAGTGGTCAAATTCTGAATCTAAAATTGGTAGGACTCGTTGCTTAAACTGGTGTGTGAGGAAAGAAGAGTCAGGGATTCTAGGTTTCTGACTTGGGTGTTAGGATAAATGGTGGTGGCACTCACTAATTTAAGAGACAATGAAGTGAGTGCAGATGTGTGGGGACAGAAGATCATGAGTTCATTTTGGCCATGTTAAGTTTGAAGTGCCTTTGGGATATCCAAATAGACCAAATGTCCTCTAAGCAGCTAGAATATGAGTCTAGGGTTCGGAAAAGAAAATTTGACTGGAAATAGAGATTTCAGAGTGACCAAAGTAGGACTATATACTAGAGCCATGAGGATGAATGGAGGTCATTTTGGGAGGGTGTGAGGCATAGGAAGATATATAGGGCAGAACCTCTTCTCAGACCTTTTGCTCTCTTTGGTCCAGTGTAGTTTTAAAGATTGAATTTGAGTGCTTTAGGAAAGGCATGCACTCTCCTGCGATCCCACCACTAATATTGTCTTCACTTGCTGCCTTGCCTCTGAAGCCATTTGAACCTGATTTTAGGGATGGATTGGAGAAGAACTAAGTCTTTGTTTATAAAGACCTAGTTTGTTTTATACAGTAGACACTTAGCTCAGTGCCTGGTACATACTAGTTGCTCTGCAAATATTTGCAGAGTGAATGAAGGAGTCGGTGAGTGAATTAAGTGGGTGAATGAGTGAATTGAGTGAGCAAATGAATAGAAAAGTGCCCACAAAAGATACTTAGAAAGAGTAGTTGAAGAAATGGGAAGGGCCGGCCCGTGGCTCACTCAGGAGAGTGCGGTGCTGATAACACCAAGGCCACAGGTTCGGGTCCCATATAGGGATGGCCGGTTTGCTCACTGGGTGAGCGTGGTACTGACAACACCAAGCCAAGGGTTGAGATCCCCTTACCGGTCATCTTTAAAAAAAAAAAAAAAAAAAAGAAATGGGAAAACCAAGAGAGTACTTTTCTGTCATCATGGTATACAAAGGTAGAACTCGTCTTCAGAAAAAGGGAACGTGAGTGGTCAACTTTGTAATTTAAAAGGAGGACTGAAAATGTCCACTGGATTCAGTGACACGAAGATCCTGATCACTGTAGCAAGAGCTTTCAGTATAGCAGTTAGGTAAGGAGGGAACCAGAATATGATGGACTGAGTATGAGGGAACTGGGGTGAGCTTAAAGAATCTGGTCGCTGAGGTAAGGAAAATGAAGTCAAGGTGGCTGTTGGAGAGGAAAAGTGGAGGAGGGGCTTCTATTTAAGATAGGAGAGGCCTAAACCTGGAGGATATGTGAGGCTGTATGATTCTAGACAATTTTGGGGTCCATATTTCAATGTCTTGGTGCAATGTCAGTACTGTTACATGTTCATGAACTTTGATTTTGCACACTGATGTTACATATTAGTTGGTCTTCAGGGTTAGGATTCTTATTGATTCAGGGAAAAATAGCCTATCTGAGGGGTTGATAAGGTAGCTTTGGACAGGAATTCTGATAACACTTAGCTGGCTGGCCTGAAAGGGAGTTATAAAGAAATTTATAATTCAATTAGTTGACTTCTAAAGTCCCTTATCTCTGAGATTTGGTGGTTACATAAAGCTGTCCTGGAGATACAGTATTTTCATATTAATTCCTTTTGCTGTGCTTTCTTTTTAGGAAACACGAAGGAAGGAAGGCATTGTGAAGCTGAAACCTCATGAGGAACCACTCCGTTCTGAGATCCTCAGTGGAAAATTTACCATCTTAGTGAGTCTTTTTATGAAGCCATCTTTTAGTGCCTCGTTACTTCCTTTTGTAGCTGTTGTCATGTTTGGACTTTGTTCCTAGATACCTTATCCTGAATCCAGAGAGTCTCTAGATGTTAGGAGCAGATGCGAGGCAGCTATATAGTTTGGCACAAAATTATTCTAGTAATAATTAAATTATTAATAATTATAGTAATTAGAGTTACTAGTAATAATTGGATAGTTGAATTATGGAGAATCAATTATATAGTAGACTTAGAAAAGTTTCTTCAGGGCCAGCCTGTGGCTCACTCGGTAGAGTGCGGTGCTGATAACACCAAGGCCACAGATCCCCTTACCAGTCATCTTTTTTTTAAAAAAAAAAAAGAAAAGTTTCTTCATTGGTCCCTTAAGGTTAGTTAGGGTCTTTGGGATGGGTATAGATCCCCTTACCAGTCATCTTTTTTTTAAAAAAAAAAAAGAAAAGTTTCTTCATTGGTCCCTTAAGGTTAGTTAGGGTCTTTGGGATGGGTATAGATCCCCTTACCAGTCATCTTTTTTTTAAAAAAAAAAAAGAAAAGTTTCTTCATTGGTCCCTTAAGGTTAGTTAGGGTCTTTGGGATGGGTATAGATCCCCTTACCAGTCATCTTTTTTTTAAAAAAAAAAAAGAAAAGTTTCTTCATTGGTCCCTTAAGGTTAGTTAGGGTCTTTGGGATGGGTATAGATCCCCTTACCAGTCATCTTTTTTTTAAAAAAAAAAAAGAAAAGTTTCTTCATTGGTCCCTTAAGGTTAGTTAGGGTCTTTGGGATGGGTATAGATCCCCTTACCAGTCATCTTTTTTTTAAAAAAAAAAAAGAAAAGTTTCTTCATTGGTCCCTTAAGGTTAGTTAGGGTCTTTGGGATGGGTATACAATGTGTCAGAGACCCATCCTTCCTTGTTTAATGCAAGCTCTCCACTTAATAGGGACCTCAGCCTTTCAGGTAAGCATGTGATGATACTTTTAAGGCAAAGTGTGGTAACCATGTCCTGTTCTATGTTTCTCTCCTGCTGCTTGTTTCTTTTTCTTTTCTTTTTTTTTTTTTCATTTGGTAGCTGGCCAGTCAGGTGCTTGTTTCTTTTACCTTCCTGCTTGGGAAATTAGCTAAGGTGCCAGTGCAGAACCATCTTTTTATCTTTCTGCAGTTGAACAGCAAAGAGAATGTATTTTCTTTTTTACCACAGGAATATGGCCAGGGGATGTTGAGAGAATCAGGCATGGAACGATCCTAATGTTCTTATCTTTTAGTAGTAATTGATTCAAGTCAGGGAAGTAGTGCTAGGGTCTGTTCTCTTCATGTATCAATCTTGTATCCGAGTTATAAGCCTTAATGATTGTTGTGATTTTCTATTTGATTTCTAAATGTTTCTTGTTTTGTTTGCTCTAGAATGTTCGGGACCCAACAGGAGCCTCCATTGCCCTCTTCACTGCCAGGTTGCATCATCCCCACAAGTCAGTTCAACATGTGGTACTTCAGGCTCTGTTTTACTTGCTTGACAGAGCTGTAGATAGGTAAGCATTGAGATTATCTTTTAGGTGTCTACATCCAGATAGGAAAGTGAGTCTTTGACTTGATTAAATTCAGCAGTGCCTTCACCATGCTCCTAGGATGTGCCCTGGGTACTATGAATAGAAAACAGTTCACATTCTGAAGGGCTTGGCATGTTTCCAGGTACTATCAAGATGATGGGTATACTGTCTCTTTACCACATGGGCTCTGTTTCAGGATAATAGAAACTGAGAAAGCCAATTCTCAGTGTATTGAGAATTACTTATTAAAAAAGAGTAAGGGGAGGGCCGAGCCCATGGCGCACTCGGGAGAGCCGAGCCCGTGGCGCACTTGGGAGAGCGTGGCGCTGGGAGCGCAGCAGCGCTCCTGCTGCGGGTTCGGATCCTATATAGGGATGACCGGTGCGCTCACAGCGCTCACTGGCTGAGCGCGGTGTGGCTGGTCTCAAAAAGGACAAAAAAAATAAAAATAAAAATAAAAAATAAAAAAAATAAAAAAGAGTAAGGGGGATTTGATGTGTGCTGGTTCTTTTTGCTCATATCAGACCTTCTAGGGACTCAGTTTCTTCGTAAAATAGGAATAATGCCATTTAGCTCAGAGGATTTTGAGAACAACATTCAGAGGGAGATGAGTCCAAAAGTTTAAAGTTAAACAACATCATCTTTATAATAACAACAGGTACATAAGCAAAAAGAACCAGCTCAGGTCATCTCTCCCTTGCCCTCTAAGGTAAATGGGATTATTACAATTCTATTGACAAAGAAACTGAAGCCCCAAGAAGTGATGTGACCATTTTTACAGCCATCACATGTTGGTCCAACTAGCTGTAAGATCCTGGTTTCTTTGTGCTTGGCCAGAGCTAGCTGTATCTCACTGTGCTGTTTTTCTTCCATATTTCCTTTATTTTTCTGGAAGTTAAAGTGTTTATGATGTGTTTAAGCTCTGTCCATTCTCCTCAGATCATATCAAGGAGTTTGCAGATGAAGTGTAGATGTGCATAGTGAAAAGAGACATGAATAGAGTCAAAGGAGAAGAAGAAGAAAAAAAAAAAAAGTCACAGGAAAATAGAAAAAAAATGTACCATAGGTTACTAGATCCTTCAGATTAAAAAAAAGAAAGAAAAAGAAAATGCTATAAGCATCAACGTTAACTATACAAGTATTACAAAGACTAATGTGAAGGAAACAAACATCTTCAAAACTTTCCACAGTGTCTACAGATCCAGTTTCATGTACGACCTGGAATATTCTCCTTTTACATAAAAACAAACCTCCCTGTATTCTCTCCCGAGCCATCAGCTGCTTACTTTGTGGTCTTCTCTGAGTGAACACCACAGAGGCTAGTGACAGAAGAGGGTCTGCTATACTTCCTTTTTCCCCGGTGCTTACCATTTACAGTTACTGCTCTCGACATCTTTGGCTGTTTCTGGTTAGAAGTGCTATATCGAGGACTGAGACCTGAGATAGTGAGAGACAGCTATGTACAACTTTAGTCATACTGAGGACTTTAGGATAGGAGTAGCCAAGGGATCATCTGAGGTGGGGCTCTCTGTTTAGTTCACTTGTTACTGCTTTGTTTATGTTACTTTCATAGTACTTAGTTTCTGCTATTGATACTCAGTAGGAGATATTTCCAAACCACACACACAGCATTATTCTGAAAAGGAGAAGTTGCTAAGGAGTGAAGACCAGTTGTCTCAGAGGCCCCATACTCTCCAAGCAGAAGTGTGGAATTTCTCAGCTTTTCTTCTTGTGACTGGCTTTCAGGCATATTTTCCAGATTATGAGTTCCTTTGAAATGCTCCTTTAGCTCAGGAGAATGAATGAAAAGCTTCTTTCCCAGAATATCTAGTATTGGGCTTCTTTCCTGGGAGGCTTACAGAGTTGGAGCGCTCTGTAGGCATGGCAGGATGCATGGCACTGGCCAAATCTTGCTCTTTCCATTGTTAGTATTGCATCCCACAGGAGGACCACACAGGTAGACATAATTAAAACTTTGTTTTTATGGTATCCATCTCTTTCTTAAAAACTCTCAGTGATTCCTCATTATCCAGAGGGGGCATATAAGCTAAATAAGTGTGAATGCTTTTCTCCAAGCAAAATATTCTCCCCATGAGTAGAAAATCTTGTTTTCCCATGTTAATCTTGAACCAGAATGGTCTTCTTTCTCCCTTCCTCTTCACTAAATCCTGCCCTTGCTTCAAGGTCCAACTTCCATAACTGGCTCCCTCATGACTGGATCACTCCAACCTGTAATAAATAAAATTCTTTTTACTATGACCTTAATAGCAGTTATTACCAATACCAATTATTATGTACTTAATTATACATGGCCTTATGATATCATTTATCTTATACTGTTATTAATTTTTTTTTTTTTTCCCTTTTTGTCTTTTTTCGTGTCCGGCAACGGACCGCAACCCTCAGTGTCGCGCCCGTACCGGGCCGGGACAGGCAATGGAATCGCAACCCTCAGTGTCGCACCCGCACCTCGCTCAGCCAGTGAGCGGGAACTGGTCTGTATGTGGGATCCGAACCCTCGGCGGGAGCGCCGCCGCGCTCCCAAGCGGCGCACTGTAGCAGTGCGCCACCGGGCCGGCCCCTGTTATTAATTTTTTAACCTACCACTAGGATGTGAGCTCCTCAAGGGCAGAGAACCTTCTTTTTAACTTTATATAATGGAAAATTTCCAAATCTCTGTAGGTGGAGAGACAGTAGTATCATCAATGTTCACATACCCATCATCCAATCTTCTTCAGTGATCTGTAATCAGTCTTATTTCATTGATAGCCCCTTGAGTACCCTCTACCCTTGATTCTTTTGAAACAAATGTCTGAGACTGTGTTTTAAACTTTTTGGTGTTCCCCGTAGCATGTAGCTCAGGAATGAAATTCAGAAGGGAAGTAGTCAGTTATCATTGTAAACCCCATATTCTATACCCAGAAAAGTGAAAATCTTACTGCATTTGTCTCTATGTGCCTTCACAGGATAAGCAGTTTCATCTAGGAATATAGAAGCTGGATCATAATGCACTGTAGCTTCTTTTTATTAAAGTCTCTTCCCCTGTCACTGACTTGTATTTGTTTTAGTCCCCTGTCAGAAGCTGGAACCATGAGGGGAAAACCCAAAATTCTTTGGATTTGGCCCTTTATGAGCTCACAGAGAGATGTAAAGTCTCTAGACTTGGATAGTCTACTCAATAATTGTGCTACATGTTTTACCAGCATCTTTGTTCTCGGTGATTCTTAGTTTCTCTAGGGTTGTGAGAAAGAAATCAAGCTGTAGCACTAACATAAGACACTAGGGGCTAGTTGAAACTAAGTATGCTGGGGAAACTTGTACCTCAGAATTAGAGATTTTTGGGGCCGGCCTGTGGCTCACTCGGGAGAGTGTGGTGCTGATAACACCAAGGCCACAGGTTGGGATCCCATATAGAGATGGCCAGTTGGCTCACTGGGTGAGTGTGGTACTGACAACACCAAGTCAAGGGTTAAGATTCCCTTACCGGTCATCTTTAAAAAAAAAAAAAAGAAGAATTAGAGATTTTTGAAATGCTACCTCATGGGTGGGTGCTTCTGCTTGGATTTTGTTAAAGGGATGAAGATTTGGAGGCTCCTGGGAGGCAAAAAATTAGGATACAAAATAACATAGAGACCTCTGATGTCAGGAATGTGTTTTGTGAACAGTTTTCTCAATTCTAAATAGATGTGAAAATTGTTGCTATCATCTGCAAATAGTACAATCAAATAATTTATTCCTAATGACCATTTGGGTGTGCATATAAGCAAGTAAGGATTTGGCTTGCTAGAAGAATACAACTTTGAGAAGTCTTTAAGATTCAAGGATATTGGACCAAGGAATACTTTTTGTATCTTTTTTTTTTTTTTTCCTTTTTGTCTTTTTTCGTGTCCGGCAACGGATCGCAACCCTCAGTGTCGCACCCGTGCCGGACCAGGACCGGCAACTTGATCACAACCCTCGGTGTTGCTCCCACACCTCGCTCAGCCAGTGAGCGGGAACCGGTCTGTATGTGGGATCCGAACCCTCGGCGGGAGCACCACCGCACTCCCAAGCGGCGCACTGTAGCAGTGCGCCACCTGGCCGGCCCAACTTTTTGTATCTTCATGTGTTCCTTAACTCAATCTGGGAAGAGGCTCACTACCTCTTAATCTACATTTAAGGATGTTTTTCAGATGGGTTTCTTCTCTTCCTCCATTGAGTCGTAAGAGACAAATTCACCATCAGTGAGCTTAGAGGAAGTTTCATTCTACACAGTTTCCCACAAGTCTAAAATATTTTCTTAGAGATGGGCTTCCAGGCTACTGAATTAAAATTCAATGACCATTTATTTTCAAGGGCTGTGCTAGGGATTGTTAGGGGTAATGAGGTGAACAACAGAGGTTCTTGCCCTCTAGGAGAAATTCAGATGGCTATACAAAGTCAGAGTATGTTAATGCCACAAGAAAAATCCACAGGAAGATTTATTGGGCTTCAAGGGAGAGAAGGATGGTAGTATCAGGGAGACCTTCATGGAAGAGGAAACTTTTGGGTCGAGTGTGGAATATGTTAGAGGATTTGGATAGGCAGATTCAGAGGGGTGGGAGAAAACAGTTCAAATTTCGATGCTCTAGTTACTCTGGAGCTTTCTCAATCTAGGATTTTGGCATTTGGTAAATATTGATAAATCTGCATTAATAAGCATCACAGATACCAAAGATAAATCATCTTTTTTTATGTAACACCAGTGTTCAGGCAGGCAGTTATTTTTATCTCAGATGTATCCCATAATCTCTCTTCGTTTTTGTCTTAGGCTTTTAACGTGCCTCATCATTAATAAATATTTTTGTCAATTGTTGGTTTACAGTTTTGAAACTCAGAGGAATGGATTGGTGTTTATCTATGACATGTGTGGTTCTAATTATGCCAACTTTGAGCTGGATCTTGGCAAGAAAGTCCTAAACCTGCTGAAGGTAAGGCTGTGGGGAGGGTCCTTTAATTCCCTTTCAATGATTAGGATATCTTTTTCTACTCTTTAGGAAAATATTTGGACTGATTTGAAGTTAAGACATTATGTTCAATTTAAAGGTCACCTGTAAATGATGACTATCTGCTTCCTTAGAATAAGAAATGGTCTTAAAAAGTGAAGTAGAATTAAAATTAAGGGGCTGGCCCAGTGGCGCACTGCTACAGTGCGCCGCTTGGGAGCGCAGCGGCACTCCCGACGAGGGTTCGGATCCCACATACAGACCGGTTCCCACTCACTGGTTGAGCGAGGTGCGGGTGCAGCACCTAGGGTTGCGATCCCGTTGCCGGTCCCGGTCCGGTACGGGCGCGACACTGAGGGTTGCGATCCGTTGCCGGACACGAAAAAAGACAAAAAGGGGAAAAAAAAAAAAAATTAAATATGCACAGGAACATAAAGGTGAGATGTCCCCTTCCTGGAGTTTTGTAGAAGAATCAATGAAGGCCTAGGTATGGCACCTGTGAAAAATGTCCCTAGCCAGTGACTTTTCAGACATTTTTGTCTCAGTCTAGTCAGAAACATGTTTTACATTTTGACTTAGTACACAGATGTGTATGCATACTATATATATGTATATATATATATATATATATATATATATATATATATGTACACACACACACACACACACACGTGTAGTTATACACTTAAATGTAATCTAAATTATGTTTAGAGGTGGGGTGTGTGTGTGTGTGTGTGTCCACGTCTGCCCAGTATGGGGATCCAAACCCTTGACCGTGGTGTTATAACACTGTGCTCTAACCAACTGAGCTAACTGGTCAGCCCCTTAGAGGTGTTTTTAATGTTTGAACTTTACATGATAATATGGTATGTATTCCACTCTATAATTAAACATGTTAATATTTCTGGAAAAAAATGTGCTATTAATCATAATGAGTTGGGAATAATAAAAGCTATAAATAGCTTATGCCATTTCAGGTCAGATTTTGCTTCCTGATGAATTTTTGGACCGAACTTAACAGAAGAAACTTAAGGTTTTCACAGCTGTTTAGATGTCAGAACTGAGGTTAAAGGTGTGTAGATCTGTGTGCACATATTTATAAAACAAAACGTAAAAGTTTCTCAAAAGAAGTTTTACTCTTACTGTGTGCAATCACTTTGATTATTCTAATCTATTTCATATTTTTAAAATGTTAGTCATTACCAACTGAACTGATTTCAGGACTCACTCACTCTCACCCTGCAGTTTGCAAAACAGTGGTCTAGGAGTCTATGCAGTCTTTGTTCTAGGACCTCACTTAGGAGTACTATTGAACTACATTTTTAGAAGTGTTATTTACTATTATACCATACAACAGAAATTATGTGAAGAGAGTATTATACTGTATGTTGTTTTCTGGGACTGGCTTTTTTCATTCAACGTTACTAAAATTTATAGGCATGTATCTGTGATTCATTCCTTTCATTCCTCATCTATTGATAAATGTACCAGTTTATTCATATCCACTGTTCTGTTGATGGCTTCTTGAGTTCTTTCCCAATGCTTGCTATTATGAACAGTGCTGCTATGAACATTCTTACAAATGTGTTCTGGTGAGCGTGTGCAAGAATGTCTCTAGAGCAATGTTTTTCAACCTTTTTTCCTACTATTTTCTTATTAAGGAGCTTTTTTAGGCATTTTTTTTTTCTAATCATTTTTCTTCTAATGAAAATTTAATATCATAGATATACTGTATATCTCTTTATATACTCTTTATATATAAAAACACTAAGATTTTTTTGCCCACCCCCTCAACTAATTTCACCCCCTTTGAGAATTTATAATATATTCTTATTAGTGACTTAGTAGCACTGTCATTGGGAACAGATAAAATTTTGAATACAATCTCCTACCATTCTCATTCAGGTAGTAAATAGAGGTTTATCTTTAATGCATGGTCTCATACTCTCATACTTCAGTTTTCTCTTTAGTATGAATTAATTTCCAGCATATAACACTGGGATAAAAATATTAATAATCTTTGACTTCTTAAGTTGCTCTGAGTAGATTTTCTCCATCTTGGTAAATGCCTTAGAATTAGTTTTGATTTTAAATTTTAAAATGCTATAACCTGTTTTAGTTGCTATCCTATAGATTCGTAAGTGTTAATTATTGCTTTATTTATTTATTTATTTATTTTTTGGTGTCTGACTGGTATGGGTCAGATGCCAAAAAATAAACACCTTGACCTTGGTGTTATCAGCACAACACTCTAACCGAGTGAGCTAATCAGCCAGTCCTAATTACTGTTTTAAGATGAACCATTTAAACCAGTCAGTGTACACTTTGCCTTTACTAGGCAATGTGGAATTTACCCCCTGAAGGATAAATCTTTATTTTTCTGATTATGAAATACATGGTTGAAATACATTGGTTAAAGGAAAATTCATTACGCAGACATCTGTAACACCATGCTCTAACCAACTGAGTTAACCAGCCAACCCTGCAGACACTTATAAAGTAATAATTACTAACACTTACCGAATGTTTTACATACTCTTCTAAGTACTTTTCATGCTTTACAACTCATTTAATCATCATATGAGGTTTGATGTGTCTTACTATTACTATCCCCATTTTACAAATCCAGAGATTTAGGTCTAGAGAATTTAAGAACTTGTTTAAGGTAATACAGCTAAGTGACAGAGCTAAAGTATTACTTATAATCCCACTCTTTGGAGGGAGAGAGAAATGCAGTGTTGATGGGTGTACATGTATCCAAGTTCTATTCTAAATCAGAGGTTTTCACTATTATACTTTAATGGTGGTTATTATTTATAGTGTGGCTGTTTTTTCATATTTATTTTTCATATATTTTTTAATTTTAATTTTTTTGGTGGCTGGCTGGTATGGGGATCCAAACCCTTGACCTTGGTGTTATGACACCACGCTCTAACCAGTCAAGCTAACTTGCCTGCCTCAGACTGGTTTTTGATCTAGTACTGACAGGAGCTTTGGGTATTTAGGCCCTGTAATAAATTGTTGCATCTTTGAAGGAAGAGATGAAGGTAGTTTCTCAGACTTTAGTGAAGAAGCCTTTGAGAATTTTGTTCTGGGTGCTGTATATTCCCTACAGGTAGAGTGTGGATCCTCCAAATCAGTAGAAATGAAGAGAGCAGAGAATGACATGTCAAATTGCAAATCAACCTTTTGAAATGTCAAAAAGAATACGGTAGAAGATATTTCGCTACAGTTCCCTCTGGATTAGTAATGAATAATTTTTCATCCTTACACTTTGCACAGATTAGAGTATCTACTTTATTTAGACTTCATTTGCCCTGGTGCACACTACAGCATATTTATTAATTGATAAATGAATATATAAATGAAGAAATAGGTGAAAAAATGATTGTACATATGAGAGTACTTCAAAAGTTTCATGGAAAAAATAGAATTAAAAGATAAGACACCCTAAGTTAATCATTGTGATCATTGTGCAGTATATACATGTATTGATACAACATGCTGTACCCCACAAATATGTACAAAAAATGTTAAATAAAAAAATATGGGCCGGCCCGTGGCTCACTTGGGAGAGTGTGGTGCTGATAACACCAAGGCCGTGGGTTCGGATCCCATATAGGGATGGCCGGTTCGCTCACTGGCTGAGCGTGGTGCTGACAACATCAAGTCAAGGGTTAAGATCCCCTTACCGGTCATCTTTTTT